AAAGTTTTCCCTGGGTCTTTGGCTCTTCATTTCTGAAGGCTCTCGTGCCATGTAAAACTTTGATTAAGTAGATGTATATGCTTTTTCTTGTTAATCTGTCTTTGTTAGTTTTATTTCAGACCTAGCCAGGAACCCTAAGAGCATTGAGGAAACTTTTTCTCCCGTACCCTAGGGATATGGATTTCTGGAATTGATGAAATACCCTTCTCATCACAACATATCGGAGGGTACTTGATGTCCACATGACATCACTTGTGATGTTAGTCTTCATCACTTAGTTAAAGGGGTGTTTGCCAAGTTTCTCTACTATAATATTACTGTTTTTCCCTTCTGGTTCCATACAATGATTTTTGTAGGTCAGTCACTAAATCTAGCCCGCCCTCAGGTGTGAATGTTGGGGGAGATTAATCTCTCCCTCCTAGAGGAGAGGGCATCTACATGGACTACGTAGTTGTCAAATGAAAGAGGAGACTTTCCAGGATGAGGGAAGACAGGTCTTGTCTACATGGGTATTTGAATAAAAAAAGGGAAAAGGCATTTGTACATCCATGAGAGTTAGCCAGGTTTTTTTCCTGACTAAGCAATGTCATTTACTGTAATGCTAATTTTCCTTAAATTTAAAAGTATTGTGGGGGCCAGGCGTGGTGGCTTACACCTGTAATCCCAACACTTTGGGAGACTGAGGCGGGCAGATCACGAGGTCAAGAGATGGAGACCATCCTGGCCAACATGGTGAAACCCCATCTCCACCAAAAAAAAAAAAAAAAATACAAAAATTAGCTGGGCATAGTGGCATGCACGTGTAGTCCCAGCTACTCGGGAGGCTGAGGCAGGAGAATCCCTTGAACCTGGGAGGCAGAGGTTGCAGTGAGCCGAGATCATGCCACTGAACTCCAGCCTGGCAATAGAGTGACACTCTGTCTCAAAAAAAAAAAAAAAAAAAAAAGTATTGTGTTGACATTTTAGTTGCATCTTTACATTTCTTATTTTTGAGTCATTCTAGGGGGTTATATTTTATTTTCTTTGTCAATTGTCTTAGCCCATTTTCTGTGGCTTATGATAGAATACCTGAAACTGAGTAATTTATAGAGAAAAGGAATTTCTTTCTATTTATTTGTTATTATCATTTCTTAGATACTGGGTCTCTCAGGCTGGAATGCAGTGGTGCATGATAGCTTACTTGCATCCTTGAACTCCTGGGCTCACCCTCCTGAGTAGATAGGACCACTGGTGCATGCCACCATGCCTGGCAAATTAAAAAAAATTTTTTTTTGTTTTTAAGAAATGGGATCTTGCTGTGTTGCTTAGGCTGGTCTCCAACTCCTGGCCTCAAGCAATCCTCCCACCTTGGCCCCCAAAGCACTGGGATTACAGGCATGAGCCACTATGCCACGCCAGAATTTATTTCTTACAGTTATGGAGGCTGGTCCCAGGTCAAAGGGCCACATCTGGGGTGAGGGCATTCTTGTCAGTGGGGCATCACATGGCAAGGCGGCTGAGCATGCTCAGCCAGGTCTCTCTTCCTCTTTTTATAAAGCCATCAGTCCCCTCCAGTCAGAACCCATTAAGTCATTAATCTGTGAATGAATTATTCTGTTCTTGAGGGCAGGGTCCTCTGACTCAATCACTTCTTAAAGACCCCACCTCTCAATTCTGCCTCGTTGGGGATTAAATTTCAACATGAGTTTTAGAGGGGACAAACATTCAAAGCATAGCATCAGTAGAGGTGTAAAGTCCCCAAGAGGAGTTGGGAAGAGATGCCTGCAGCCAGCATTTTATAGTATTTCCACCATACAGATGTAGTAGATGTAATTAACCCTAAAAGCATAGTAATTGTATAATGTGTACAATAATTAGGCAGTGATGCATTTTAGGCATTTAATACCTTTACTTTTAGTATAATTTATTTTATTGTCAGTTTATATAGTTCAATAGTGACTATGTTTAACAACCAACTCTCAGTTTTCCAAAAATTTTCACAAGCGGCTCTTGCCACTAATACTATTATTAGAAAACATCTGGAATGATTCACACAAAACTGTTCACAGTAGCTACCTCTGGAAAATGAGTTGAAAGTTAGAAGAACTTTCCCTTTCTCTTTCAGTCCCTTCTATACTGTTTGACTTATTTGAAATAAACAAATATGCATTATTTTTGTAATAATAATGTTAAGTTTAAGAATATTAGGAAGATGGTTTATAATACCAACTGTGTAAGAGGAGGGGAGGTTAAAACTATATATTTGTTTGTGCATATATATCAGAGGTTAAACAAGAAACTAAGAAAAAGCCTTATCCAAAGAGAGTGAGGGAAATTGGTTGAATGGGAATGTAGTTTTCATATTCTTTTGATATTTGAACCACATAAATGGATGTGTTCCAAAAAGTTTAATAATTAAAAACACTTTAAAAAGATCACCTGCTACTCCACCCTAAAAAAACACAAGAGAAAGTTTCTATTAATTATTATTACATATTGAGGACTCTGCCTCTGTGGAGGACAAGTCTCAATGAAATCACAAACTTTTTCTTTATTTCCATAACAAACTCATGGTCAGGGTGTCTTGAAAATGACTTTCGGGGTGAGTCATTGTTCAGGTATGCAGCTGTGTTAGCACTGGCCTCGAGACTCAGATAATACAGGGCACAGTTGTTATAAGCAAACAAGAGTACGTGGATGAAGACATTTTTTCCAGGTAGAAAATGGAAGAGGGCCAGACATCCTTAAAGTGCTCTACCTTTCTATTCCTCTCACGTTAGTGTTAGGAAGGTATGTTTGGCCAGTAGAATAGGCGATGTTTGTTTAAGGCTTATGGAAATGTAGGCACCTGACCCAAGTCAAGCTCACATTTTTTTTTTTTTTTTTTTTTTTGAGATAGAGTTTCACTCTTTTTGCTCAGGCTGGAGTTCAATGGCGCAATCTTGGCTCACTGCAACCTCCGCCTCCTGGGTTCAAGTGATTGTCCTGCCTCAGCCTCCCGAGTAGCTGGGATTACAGGCATGTGCCACCACACCCGGCTAATTTTGTATTTTTAGTATAGCAGAGACGGGGTTTCATCACATTGGCCAGGCTGGTCTCAAACTCCTAAAACCTGAGGTGATCCGCCCGCCTCAGCCTCCCAAAGTGCTAGGATTACAGGTGTGAGCCACTGCTCCTGGCCAAGCTCGCAGTTTGGAAGTCACCTCTTGATCCTCAGAGAAAAAGCAGATGCCTTCTTCCTATGGTACAGTTGCAGAAATGGCAGTTCTGAATGCCACGCCCAGTTATTCCAGTTGTGCTTCACTTTCCTTTGTAATGCAAATATCTGTTATCTAGCAGGAACCTGAAAAGGAACCACCTCTAACTAAACATAGCTCCACAGAACTAATGACAGAAATTTCTCTGCCAGATCTTGAGACCTGAATAATATTTGTGGTCAATCAAAATGAATGTTAAAGATCTAATATGAACTGAACATGAATATGGTTTACATACATGCATCTCTATTCTCTTTTAAAATCAGTCATAACACGTGAGAATATCAGTTGCAAACAAGCCCTAAGCCGACTCTTAAAGACTGAAATGACAGCGCAAGCTTGCATCAGCCACATTTTCAAAGAGTCTTTGAAAATGTTCCTTGCAACATTCCACCTCTACAATGTTGTGTCTAGTCAGGCAAGACAAGCCCATGGGCCTACATTTAGAAGCTACTGTTATTTTTATTATTGTTAGCATATAAATATTGAAATTACATTTTTGTTGGTTTAGACATACAAGTTAGAACATAAAAAAAATGGTATGTCACATTAGAAAAAATTATAGGGGCTGGGCACAGTGGCTCACGTCTATAATCCCAGCACCTTGGGAGGCCATTGCAGGCAGATCACCTGAGCTCAGGAGTTCAAGACCATCCTGGCCAACATGGTGAAATCCCATCTCTACTAAAACTACAAAAATTAGCAGGACGTGGTGGCGCTCACCTGTAGTCCCAGCTACTCAGGAGGCTGAGGCAGGAAAATTGCTTGAACCCAGGAGGCAAAGGGTGCAGTGAGCCAAGATCACGCCATTGCACTCCAGCCTGGGTGACAGAGTGAAACTCCGTCTAGAAAAAAAAAAAGAAAAAAGAAAACAAATGATAGTGTCATGAACTCACCATTTTTGCTGATATCATAGAAATAATCAATGCAGGCAAGAATCATCAGTAAGTGCCAAAACTACTTGGTGGAAGTTTGAGGAAGAACAGGAGACTTGAGCCTGAGCCCTTAACTATGTTTCCCCAGGTTACTTACTAATTACAGAGGGAAAATCACTAGACAAGTGATCCAAGTTATCAATGAATGGGACAAATCGGCAGCACGTGCGTCTTGATATAAGGCACCAAGAAGGACACTACATCCTTTATCAGTTTCTTACCCCAAATTATCTGACTCTAATCATGAAGAAAACAACAGGCAAACCAAAAATCATAGAAATTCTACAAACCAGTTGGTTCATATTCTTCAAAAATGTGACTGTCTCGAAAGACAAAGAACAGCTGAGGAATTATTCCAGGTTAAAGAGACATGACAGCTCAGTGTGATGCTCGATCCTGGACTGGATCCCAGATGAGGAGGAAGAAAGGGGCTGTAAAAGACAATGGAGCAACTGGCAACATTTAAATATGAACTTGATATTAGATAACAGTATCACAGCATTGATGTTAAAATTCATGAATCTGATCATTGCACTGTAGTTATGTACGACCATATTCTTGTTCTTAGGAAATGTAAGCTGATGAGGTACCTTCAAAGGGTATAGGGAATTCTTTTAACTATTCTTGCAACTCTTCTGTAAACTTGAAATTACTATTATTTTTTAAACTTAACAGTGAGTCACATGACTTCTTGGGAGAGGAAGAGAGTAGCACCATGTTCTAAGTCTATGGTGAGACACTGAGCCCTGCAACAGAAGCAAGAGTTGGAGCAGGAGTGAGCAGCTATCTGGGGTTTCTGTGTTGCAGAGACAAGAAGAGGTGAAGCTAAGAACTCAAAACATATCTAGAAACTAAAGACCTAACCTCTAGTCTGCAGGGTGAAGCCAGACACCAAAAGAGGTAAGCGAAAGATTCAAACCAGGCAGCAACAACACTTACGGGGTAACAGAGAAAGGCAATCAGAGACTTTGGTATCTGATAGAGACCAGAGAAATAGAGGCCAGAGACTAAAACATGTTAGAGAGGAGAGGGTTTCAGAAAGCAGAGTGTGGTCAGCATTGTCAAAAGCTACTGGGTTCTCTAGAGGGACAGAACTAATAGGATATAAATATAAAGGGAAGTTTATTAAGTCTTAACTCAGACGATCACAGTGTCCCACAATAGGCTGTCTGCTAGTTGAGAATCAAAGAAAGCCAGTCCAAGTCCCAAAACTGAAGAACTTGGAGTGCAATGTTCGAGGGCAAGAAGGGTCCAGCACGAGAGAAAAATGTAGGCTGGGAGGCTAGGCCAGTCTAGTCTTTTCACATTTTTCTGCCTGCTTTATATTCTAGTCATGATAGCAGCTGATTAGAGCTGCCCACCAGATTAGGGATGGGTCTGCCTTTCCCAGCCCACGGACTCAAATGTTAATCTCCTTTGGCAACATCCCCACAGACACACCTAGGATCAATACTTTGCATCCTTCAATCCAATCAAGGTGACACTCAGTATTAGCCATCACAGCTACCCAGAGAAAAAATTAGCTGGGGCATGGTGGCATGCACCTGTAGTCCCAGCTGCTCGGGAGGCTGAGGCAGGAGGATCACCTGAGCCCAGGAATTGGCGAGGCTCCAGTGAACCAAGATTGCACCATATAGTCCAGCCTGGGTGACAGAGTGGGACCCTGTCACGAAAACAAAACAAAACAAAACAAAGGGCTACAAAGAGGACAAGTAAGTATTTCATGCATTGATTTGTGAACTCAAAGGCTGTTGCAATAATAAAGGAGACTGTGTATTGAGCACCTACAATGTGCATATTTCCTTCAACTCTCACGGCCACCCCCTTCCGCATTAGGCAGGTGAGAAGAGTGAAGCTCATAGAATTTATGAAGTCTCTGCAAGGTGGCACAGCTAATAGGAAGCTAACCAGGAACAAGTGACAAATTTTGAGGTGACAGCATCGCAAAGTGTATCATTTTATCTGTTAGCCCTTGGGAGCCTAGGTGAAGAAATGGCAAACCGGTTCTTTGAGTGGACTCAGGACTGGGGCATGAAGGAAGACTTCAGCCGGGTATCAGGAGGAGAAGGTTTAAAATCAATCTGAAGTGAGTGATTAGGAGTTGAAGCCAGACAGAGGAAAGAAAGGAATTGAGCATAAACAGGCAGGAGATTGGGGGTGGAAGTCTTGACAAATGCAAGTCTGACTCACACTGAGAGAAACATTGTATATCATGGATCAGTCATCTCTCTGTTCATAAATAACTCAAAACAGAAGTTTGATAAACAATAGTTACCCTTACCATGCTGGGGAGCTCTGTTAATTCTCGTTTTCTTTTTAGTGATTTGTTTTGTCTTGTTGGTTTTTTAAACATTTTTTTTCAATGCTGGCAAGAATCAATAAATTGATTTCCTGCGACACAGCCTGTGGTTAGGTGTGGCCTGAAGTGTGATAGCGCTGGGGTGGGGTAGCGATGAGAATAGTAGCCAGCTGTCTGGTTTGGATCTATCTCAGCCTTCTTTTCTTGGCTAAGCCTGGGCCTCTCACAGTTTTCCCTCAGCTGCTCCTTGGTCTAAAGTCCTAACTCACCCTCCCAGCTCGAATGAGATCCTACTTGGAAACACCTGTGGTACAAAGAATGGTGGCAGGGGGCCAAGTCACAAGTGGCCTTGGCCAAGCCAAATGCCTCAGGCGTTCTAGACGTGCATAAATGTCAACATCATACATAGGTATGTGTCAGGAGAGAGAAAATGAATCCTCCCTGTTTCAAAGGAATATGGTCAAAAGTGTGGCGTAGCCTTCTTTGGAGCACATGACTTTTAATGTCTATGTTAGAGTCAATTGACCTCACCTCTTTTTAATCTGAAGGATTCATTATTTGGAACTTGGGTTGAGGACCTAAATGGATTTCCCTTTTGGTATCCATCTCTCTTGTTGGGAAACTTCATGACTTATTTCAAAAAAGAAGCCCTGACAAGAGGAAGGTTCCAAACGTTAGGTGCCGATATGTTTGTTCTTGATGTATGTTGTGGTGTATTTATATTATAACACAGAACTTATAAAGAGAAAGTCAGTGGAACCTTAGAGGAATGCCTTAGGCATGCAGGTATAGCTTTGAGAATTTACATTTGCATATACGAACCCATGGTGCTCTCACCTTCCTAGCTCAGGTTACCAATAATGTTTGAAATGACAAGTTCAGGGTTATATAATTACTATCCTTACTTCAAAAAAACCCATTCAGTTTATATTCTTTTTTACTTTCTTTTCTTTGAAATTTTGTGACTGGCCTCTCTAATTACTTATGGTAGTATATATACTTCTTTTCCCACATGGTATTTTTCACTGCTCCTGAGGACATTTGAAATTCCTGGACCAGCACAACCGTTTTCTGTTATGACCACCTGTGTTATTCAGCCCTGTAATCACAGGAAACAAATAACCAATTACAAACCTTTCATTTTTCTTTCTTCCACACCCCTTTGTCTTCACCCACTTATGGGCCTATAACTTTTTCCATATGGGTCCTTCAACCACTAGATAATGGTCTGATTAACACCAAAAAACTTATTATCGTCTCTCATAACACAAACGCACTCATTGAGTAAAATGTCCCTGCCCACAGTGCTGACCGCCTGATCACTTCAACCACCGCAGTACAGTGCCTCTACTAGACGACTCACTAATGAGGATTTATAGCAGGTTAAATAGCAGCACTCCCCCCACCAAAGATCTGTCCCTGTCAAATCCCGGGAACCTGTGAATGCTAACTTACTTGGGAAAGAGTTTTTTTGCAGATGTAAATAAGGATCTTGAGATGAGATCATCCTGGATGACTCAGGTGGGCCCTAAATCCAAAGACAAATGCTCATATAAAAGAAAGACGAGGAGAAGACACACGCAGAGAAAGCCACGTGAAGATGGAAGTGGACACTGGAGTGACGCAGCGACAAGCCGAGGAATACCTGGAGTCACCAGAAGCTGAGACACGCAAGGAAGGAATCTCTCCTAGAGCCTTTGCAGGGAAACCTGGCTCTGCCGACACCTTGATATCAGGCTGCTGACCTCCATAATATGACAGCAGACATTTCTGTTGTTTTCAGCCCCCAAGTTTGTAGGGATTGGTTACAGCCACCCCAGGAACCTAATACGTGATTTGAGTCCAGCTTTTGCAGTACAAGGCACTGCAAACCCCAGCGATCTCCACACAAAAATGTTATTTTAACCATTTCAAATTAATTAAACTTCTTTCCACTCCAGTATAAAAATTGGTAGCAAATGACCATGGAGTGTTCATAATATAAAGGTGTTACAAACCTAACTTTTTGAAATGTAGACCAAGAAATACCAATAAAAGTAAGATTTAGCACTTTCTTGTATGAGGTTACTGTAACACTGATGATGTCAATATGTTTTTTTAGTGATGAGTATGGACAGTCTCTTCTTTGCCCTCTGTCCCTATAATTACATTTCTCAACAAGAAGAGTCTACAAACTGCCTCATGTGGATGAAATGATTTTATGTCTAATATCTCCCAATTACCTAGGGGTAATTTTCAAACTCCTTAGCCAGCCTCGGGGGCCCTTCGCAGTCTGGTTCCAGTTTATCTCCTGGCCCAGTGTCTTACCTGGCAAAAATAGAAGCTGGGGGCCGGGAGCAGTGACTCACGCCTGTAATCCCAGCACTTTGGGAGGCTGAGGCCAGTGGATCACCTGAGGTTGGAAGTTCAAGACCAGCCTGACCAAGATGGAGAAACTCCATCTCTACTAAAAATACAAGATTAGCTGGGCATGGTGACACATGCCTGTAATCCCAGCTACTCAGTAGGCTGAGGCAGGAGAATCACTTGAACCCGGGAAGCAGAGGTTGTGGTGAGCCGAGATCGTGCCATTGCACTCCAGCCTGGGCAACAAGAGCGAAACTCTGTCTTAAAAAAAAAAAAAAAAAAAAAAAAAAGAAGCTGGGTGAATCATAGTTGGATAAATGAACGGATACCTGGCTCATGTCAGATACGGCTGTTCATTCACATACGTCTGCCTCTCCCATGGGCAAAGAGTAGTCTCAGACCTTATTCAACTTCCTATTCCAGCAGCTAGGAAAGAGCCAGGCAAATAGGTACTCAGTAAATGTTTGTTGAGTAAAGAATGACTCTTTCTAATTAGCCAGGCATGCTGACACACCTGTAGGCCTAGCTGCTCGAGAGGCTGAGGTGGGAGGATCTCTCGAGTCTGAGAGTTTGAGGCTGCAGTGAGCCAGGATCGCAACACTCCACTTGCACTACAGCCTGAGTGACAGTGAGTGAGACCCTGCCTCAAAAAAAAAAAAAAAAAAAATGACACTTTCTACCCTCCAAGCAAGTCACCGTCATTTTAAGTAGAAATAACCATGTGGCATTCCATATATATTTTTAATCTTGTGAAATATTTTTGTTTCTAGATTAAGAAAATGCTATCACAAAGTCTCTGTGTGGTCAAAGGTATCAGCCACTTACAGCGTTCAATGTGGTAATGAGGAAAGGCATAATTTCCTGTGGTTTGACAATAACGTGACAGGAATAGTTCCAACTGCTTTGAATAGATTACTGTCCCCCTGCATTGAAGTTCCAAACTGTGGAATCCTACTAAACAAATGTGACCAGCCCTCAGCCAGCCAGGTGCTGTGCTTATGAATACATGTGGTCATCATTTTGCTAGGTTCTCTGAGGGATTTCAAAATTTGAGCAACCATTTCAGCCCCCAACAATCATATAGTTGAATTGGAAAAAGAAGGCAAACAGAGGATGGGGAAGGATTTAGCAATAAGAAATATTTCTCTGGAGATTCAACATCCATGCCACAAAATCATAGCAAATGATAGATTTTAAAATAGTGTCTCTCCAGGTTGGGTGTGGTGGCTCACACATGTAATCCAAGCACTTTGGGAGGTGGAAGCAGGGGGGTCACTTGAAGCCATGAGTTTGAGACCAGCCTGAGCAACATAACAAAACTCTGTCTACACACACACACACATTTCTTTTTATTAGGCCTGACTACATGCCTGTAGTCCTAGCTACTCAGGAGACTGAGGTGGGAGGATCACCTGAGCCCAGGAGTTTGAGGCCATAGTGCAGGTATAATAGGGCCACTGCACTTCAGCTTGGGCAACAGACCAAGGGCCTACCCAGAAAAAAAAACCAACAACGAAACACTATTCGTCCAGTCCATTTTTAAATCTTGGGCATTCCTCAGCAAGGATTCTCAAAATATAATAGGCAAGAGTTACCATGCCCATTCTTTCTATGCTAATACAAGATTTGATTGCAAGGTGAAGAATCAGTCAATTTCCTTCAAACTTCACTCACCATTGAGCTTTTGGAGGGATTTGAATTAATCACTCTAGACGCATTTGGAGAAATGGCCACTGTAAAACAAAGAATAGGTATTAAACCTTATCTAGAAATTCATAGCCCTTAGGCTCATCATGTACCCTAAAAATGGAAAAGCATAATTTCTTAGTATTTTCTACTTGGAGTTAGATGAAAAATGCCTCTTGTAACTCATGGAGGGCACAGAAGGGCAGAGACTGCATCTTCTTACTTACAGCTGTGTCTCTGTGGCAAATGAAATACCTGGCATGAAGTGGTGGAATGAACTAATGATCCAGTGCTCTAGCTTCATAATACGAAGTTGGCTATAAGTATTGATTCAAATCAGCACAACCAAGGATGGTGGCAAATTACTGTTCAATGCTCTTTAAATATATTTTTTTTAAAAAAAGATTTAAAATTGTGATATCTAACCTGACATTCACATGTTCAAAGGGACCCCAAAACAAGCATGTTAAATGAAGTCGTGGCTGGACGCGGTGGCTCATGCTTGTAATCCCAGCTCTTTGAGAGGCTGAGGCAGGTGGATTGCTTGAGCTTGGGAGTTTGAAACCAGCCTGGGCAACATGGCAAAATTTAAAATAAAATTAGCCAGGCATGGTGGCGCATGCCTGTGGTCCTAGCTACTCAGAAGGCTGAGGAGGATCGCTTGACTCTGGGAGGTGGAGGCTACAGTGAGCCAAGATCGCACCACTGCCCTCCAGTCTGGGTGACAGAGTAAGACCCCATCTCGAAAAAAAGAAAGAAGAAGAAGAAGAAAAAAGGAGGAGGAGGAAGAAGGAAGAAGAAGAAAGGAGGAGGAGGAAAAAGGAAAAGAAGAAGAAAGGAGGAGGAGGAAAAAGGAAGAAGAAGAAGAAGAAGTCTCCATCAAGTAAGGGGAGAAGTGTATATTAAAGCCCTAATGTGTCTAATACTATGCAAGGCGCTTTGGGGCACAGAAGGAAGAGCGCAGAGTGTATGCACACAATGAATGCAGCATGCACCAGCCCTGCCTACAAAAGTCTCAGAAGCCAGGAGCAAAGACGGTACTAGCACGACAATGTGATTAGAGAAATGAAATGCTATGCAAGTGTCCAAGGAAAATATAAACTAGGAAAATACAGGTCTTAGAAACATTTTCTTCTTAGCTTGCTTTGTTGTACATCTCTGCCTTACATTTGTAATTTCACCCCTTCTCATTACATGCAGAGAAAACCTAGTTGAGTCCCAAATTGGTGTGTTTGATTCTCTTAGATTGCAGTGTAAGCCACTCTTGAAAGTGTAATCTAAAAGAAAGAATTTGGCGGGTGTGGAGTGGGGAGGGTATTTTTTCTTATTTTCTTGCTAGGCTAGTGAAGGCTACCAGGGTAAACGAAGCATTAAGTGCTTTCAGTGTTCTTAACGTTTTAAGTTTACATTCTTGAACAAAGACTCAAGATTTTTTATTTTTACTTTTTGTCTGTAATGTTGTTTCCAAAATGCACTGTTCTTTCTAGTAAGCACAAAATTGACCCCATATGTTTAGAAAAAAAATGCAGAAATATTTTCTTTTTGTCTCTTGAGGAATTACATGCTTCTTTGGGGGAAAATAAATAGACCTTCCTTGTGCATTTAAAGGAGACAATACCTGATTTTGACTATAATGGGTCTCTTATACAGCCGAGAGACTCAAGGTTTGTTAAGATTTTGAAACCCCCCCCCACACACCCCCATACATACACAACCCAAAAGCTGTGTTGTTCTCCAGAAAGAATAAAGTAGCTTTAAAATTCCAACCACTGGAAGGCTGGAAATGTGGCTGTGATGGTTGACAAATTTGCAAGATTTCAGAATGAAGCCCGCTCAATCTCAAAGGTGCTTTAGTGAGTCTCTTTTTATTTCCTTTATTTTGGCTTTGTCTTTATCAATTCAAAATTTGCAGAAATCCTAGACAAAACTGTGTGACCTCCTGGGGGGAGGAGAAACATTCATAGGGTCTCCTTCAATCCCAGCGTTCTCTCATTCTAAGGGTAAATCTAATTGTCCCCGTTGTATCTTTGAAAAATACTGTCGACTCCCAAGTCTTACATAGCAGGAACATACATTCCCACACTGATTCATAAATACCCCTAGCCCTTCTGGGAAGAATCTCTCTTGGGAAAAAATGAAGAATCCCCCATCAAAAATTTAAAAATAAATAAATGAAGTCTCTCCTATTCCCGTGTGCAGCAGTTAAGCGTACAGTGTGATATAGGCAGAAGCTTCTGAATGTCCCCATTCCACATGCCAAGCAGCCTGAATGCAATCATTACCAGATTTTTTATTTTACTTGTTGTTGTTGCTGTTTTAGCTTTGTCCCCCTAGGAGAGAAGGGCCTTTTATTTCATGAATCATCTCTTTTTTCTAAATGTTCCTTCTTCAACTGAGGAACACTGGAGCTGTGTTAATTTCTTAAAATTTTCTTTCGTCTTTGCATTGTTTGAAAAAGGCACACAGCAAAAACCTACGTAGGAATGGTTTCTCTTTGTGCCTTGGGCATTTGCACTGTGCCCACACCCTTCCTTACAGGCAAGAAAAGAAAACTGTAGGTCTCCAGGCCCGTCTCCATTTTGAGACCTTTGTACTGACTCCTCTGTCTTCTCTCCACGGAGCTGAGCGGGCTGTGGCGCTTCAGGTTTTGTAGCAGCCTCTGCAGCAGCCAGTACACACCCCTTGCAATGCAGAGCAAGGCTTCTAGCCCGAAGGTCTACTTGATTGTCTAACCCACAGGTAAATGGTTTCCTGTGCATTTCTCAAAGTGTTGAGCAAAGGAAATGAAAGCAACCAGTTCAATAGTGATCAACAGTTTTCCCTACCCATCCCCTTCAAAAAGAGTATTTTCGTAAGTCGGTTTTGAGAGAAAAATGTTTAACTTCTTGGACATTTGCATGGTAAAATTTAGCTTTGCCGAGACATTTTGTGAACCAAGAGCCTTCTTAAATGCTGTTGTTTCAGCTTAATAAAATTGGTGCTTATAAAAAAAAAAAAAAATCTCCACCCTTCCCTGCAGAAC